GGTACTAACCACGGTTGCTTTCCCAGAAATACAAGAAGCCTCTATCCTTGTTTAAATTCTTGTACATGGATATTTAGTGATTCATTAAATAGCCGAGCTTGACTGATGTTTGTTACCCATTTCAGGCAGTGGGGCTTGCTTCAGTAAAGTACTTTCGGCTTTAAAATTATCCACAGATAAGATCAAACCGATTATCACAATTCAATGATGGCTGGAAGGGATCGAACGTTCCCAGTAAAGCAGTGAATTCACATTTGTTTAATCATACGCATGCCCCAGTTCTGCTGTTGCTGATGATTCCTTCCTGTGAATGGCTTTCAGGGGGTCTGCGTGTGCCCCTCTCCCCGCCTCAGAGGGCAGAACACACAGAGCCCTGGGCACCCGTACTTGGCACCGGAATGGGCAGGGGACGGGCTGCAGCGCAGGTGTTTGGCTCTCCATGGTCACAGATCCACTGGCTTCACCTGAAACTCCCCTGCACGCTGGGCTGGAGGAGCCCTGCAGGGTACATGGGGCTGTGGGGAATTAATCTGGGCAGGCTCCCCTACATCCTCCCACCGCCATGCAGCACGACCTTTCCAGCTCTGCTGCCTCGCACGTTTGTGCACCATGTTCCAAGTGGCACTGGGGCAGCCAGGGTCACAAAGCCAGCCCCAAGCAGAGAGAGCTCCGAAGGGACCCTGGGGATCAGTCACTGGGGGGCAGATAGGAATGGGGCTCTCTGAACAGTGTAACAGTCCTTGACTGGCAAACAGGGAGTGCAGCATTGGCCAGGCTCACAGCCCACCCCCAGCAACACACACACGTGCTCCAGTCCCACAGGATAAAAGCTTAGACAGACAGACCAGTGACACAGCAATAGCCTTAAAATATATTTACAGAAGGGATCTGAGCCCTAAATGATTGTTCAGGGCAGCAACAGACCTGCCTGTTCTGTGAGATCCGCACAGAGCCAGAGGAGCTGCTCCGGAGAACAAGACAGCGGAGTGTCTCTCCTTGGCTGGGCTTTGCAGATCTGGACGCTCTCCCCATCACGTCCTTTTGTACCTTCCCGGCTCCATGTCATTTAACTGGCCCTGCTCTCCCTCTGGGCTGCTCAGAGCTCCCAGGTCACAGCTGCAGGCTCTCCTCACCTGTAGGGTACCACCTCCACCAGCTACCATGAGTTACATCCCTTACCCTGCCTGGCCTTGGGACTAAAGGAAGAAATCCAGGGTACGCCCACATCTAGAACAGGGCCTGTAGATCTGGTCGTCCCAGCTCAGAAAAGATATACTGGAATTGGAAAAAGTACAGAAAAAGGCAACAAAAATGATGAGGGGTATGGAACAGCTTCCATATGAGGAGAGATTAATAAGACTGGAACTTTTCAGCTTGGAAAAGAGACGACTAAGGGGGGAGA